TGAATAGCCCTAGCCCTAAAGCTAGGCTTATTTATCGCTCTTATAGAGCCCTCCCTCCCTCTGAAGAGATTGACCCAATACAAGACCCTCCGTGGGACAGGGGTTTTAACCGACAAGCCCGCCTTATTGAAGTAGCAGGACCTGACCGTGGTGGAGACAAGAGCTCTTTTAAGGCCAAATTCCTTGAATTCCTGGCTGTAGTTCCACCTACAGACCTAGTAGTATTTACGGACGGCTCTCGCTTAGACGACAAAAGAACTGGTGGGGGCGTATGCCTTACAAGAGGGGGGGTTGTTCTCAACACCAAGGCCTTCCCTTTTGGCAAAGCGTTAGAGATATATGACGCGGAAGCTAGGGCTGCTCTCCATGGTCTAGAATTAGCCATAGACTCCCCTTTCTGGCCGGCGGCTAGGAAGTGCTGGATCTGCCTTGACAACCTTGAAGCTACGCTACAGTTGACCTACCGGTCCTGTGGCATCTCGCAAGAAACCTTTAATAGGGTCTACGAATTAGCCTTATTATACCCTGGGAAAATAGAGGCTAGGTGGTGCCCTAGCCACATAGGGATCCTAGGCAACGAGATTGCGGACAGAGCTGCGGGCAAAGCGGCTCGTACACCCTCTTCTGACCTCCCGCCTACACTCTGCACTGCTACACTCAAAAGAGAGACTAAGGAGGCAGGGGTCAAGCTTGCAAGAAACCTCTGGAACACTACCCTCCCGGGCCTTTATAAGGACCTAGGGTTCTGTACCTGCTCTTTAAAGCCTAGGTCTCTCCAGCTACCAAGAGAGGTCCTAGCTCGCTTAATCGCTGCTCGCTCTGGCCACGGCGACTTTACCTCCTACCACCTCCGCTTCTTTCACTACGATACGCTACTCACTTCAGGGGAATGCAACTGTAGGAAGGCTAAAACTCAATTCCATATACTCTTCTGCAGGCTAGCAAACAACGAGGCCCCTAGCCTTTTAGCCAAGGCCAAGAAGGACCCCCAACTTCTCTTTGGCCCCCACTGCGAGGAGCTCTTTAGCAAGGTCTACTTTAAGACTAAATTCTACACCAATATCTGTCTCTCTAGATAGATAGACCTTCTCCTTTTTTCTCTCTTTTCCTTATATTTCCTTTGTTCTGCTCTGGCTCTAAAAACTAATTAAGGATAAGGGCTGTTCCGAAAGTGGGGCTTCTCTTTAAACTGTCTCTTGTAAATTAGCTCTTTTCATTTACACCCCCTGTAGCCTGGGGTACCCCCCCAGCGTCATTTGCCCTAATTGGGACTTTCTAGGACCTAGACCACGCGATCTAGACTCCGCCTGACGTTAAATAGTAATAAATAAATAAATAAATAAATAAAAGTTACAGTTATAAACCCAATTTAATACGTACTATTTATACTATAGAAATCTCAAAAGTATTATCTATATTGCGGCCTCCTTCTTAGACAGACAAGGCAGGTGTCATCGGAGTAAATTAATAGCTGTAGGTGGGGAAATGTTAAAAGAAGTTGTTGGTGTAAATCCGGAGGAGTTGTTGAAATGTAATCCAACTCTGTGAACATGTCGATGAAGCTTTCCTCAACCATGGCTAAGAATCTTGATGGGAGAAGCATGAGTGTCGATCCTTCATAGGCAAATACACCAGATCTGCAGGCTTGGTAACATGAGCTTTTATAGATCTCGCGCAAAATATCGACTGGGCGAAATTCTATAAGATGTTAGAGATTGAGGTTTAGATGTAGATTTCCACCTACGATGCATATCTGGGGGGTAATTATCTGTGAGGGTTGGAACCCATGATGGAGGCTCGGGCCATGCCCTCGCTAAGCACTGACCAAAGTCCCCGCTTAGCACTGGCCATTACCCCACCGCCAAACAGGTTTCCACCATTCCACACTTTCTTGTTTTGTTCTTCTGACATCATGTATTCGTCTATCAAGTTTCTTGCAAGTTTCTTGGAATATTCAGGAAGCTCTTCCTCTCTCTATATATAGAGGAAGAGCTCGAATGTATGTAGTCTTCACGCACTTCTTAATTCAATATTCGAAACCACACCTTTGAGCTGTTCAAGGTCTGGCCTCTCACATAGATTTGGAGGCCTACTATCAAAAATCCATCGCCCTACCCATTTTTCAGTAGTTACTACAATTTTCCAACCGGGCGATGGGCAGTTTTCAGGCTTGTAAGTACTAGTGCACATCCTTGAGTTTTTGTTCTTAGGCTATCCCAATTCATTGCATGGGAGTTTTCGCTTGTGCTCCGTTGTAAAATGTTTATTAGTGAAAAGCAAAGCACTTCAGTATCATAACCTTGATTCATATTGGGTATACAGTGTAGCTCTACCTAAATATTCCTCGCACTTCTACTAGAATAGTTATTTATGAAGAACAGCAGGTGTGCTGTGAGTTGATACTACTGTAGATGACAACAGGAAAACCTAGATAACTTCTTCAAAAAGGCACTTTCTAATCCTAAATCCTTTTGAAATACCTATCCTTTAGAACTACAAAGTGCTTGTATTAAGCGTTAATGGAAAATAGGGAATAAGATCGCTATCCAAAGCTCGGTGCAAGTAGCGCGCACGCATTTCTGTGTAAGATTACAATTCTAGGAAGAGTCTGAAGGAACTCATCCCCTTACATTGGGAAGGAACGAACCACCCTTAGCGACAACCACCAAAATCACCTACCTGCCTCAATTTGAAGACAGCCCCCGAGATGGAGCCTCTTGTGTGTTAAACACATACTTGACTACCTCGGCATTGGCTTCTGAACTCACATTTGGAAGGCATTTACCTGTTTCTACGTGCTGATCTGCCTCTTCTTCACCTAGGTACTCTAAACCTCGACTTGGAATGCATTCCTCTATTTCACGCTGCATCCCTCGTCTCCTATCCTCCACAACCACACTTCCATCCCACCTAGACCAAATCGCAATGTGAGCCAACCATTTTACCCCGTACTTCATTGACTATTTCCATCACAAACCCTCTTCCATCGGAATCAAACCATGGAGAAAGCATGCCAATATAGGTACTTTCTGCTCTCATCCTCTTTCTCAGCCCCTACGCTTCAATCCCCTAAATCCAAGATTCCAAACGAATAACCCTATATAGCCTCACCAGCGCCTCCTGCACAACTCGGCATTTCTAGTCATTTGCTGCATTTTTTCTTCTCCCAACCACCCCAATTCGGATGGAAAACTACAACAGTCTCGTGGAGCAGCTACCCTCTAAGCTCACGCACCCATCAACAATCCCTTCCACAACTTCTCTGGATAGAGCAGTTCATCACCAGTACGAGTATCTGAGGCGCCTTCTATCACTGTTTTGAATCGCGGCTGTTCTCAACAGTGCGGATTACATATACCAAGGCGATCCGAGTTCATGCTCCTAAAACGCAAAGACTTCGTTTCTGGCACTCATATGATCATGAGATCTCGGGCATTATCCCTTTGTAAGTCGATGCTAAAATAGACCTACGATCGAGCCGTTGCAAGCTCGTCATCGCTTTCCATTTGTTCGTAACACCCAATAGCGCCCACCCATTGACAATCATACTGCCCTTCCTTCCTCAGCCACTCGGGATAAGTGGTTCTGATGGATTATGAGGGTTTTTGGTTGTGGGTATAGGTCTGATTGAGTCGTCAGAACATCTTTCTTTCCTCACCACCCCGCTCTTTCTTGTTCCATACATTCACGCCCAAACCAATGAATTATATTCATGAGATTAGAGACAGCCCTCAACCAAATGCCTATAGTATGCAGTTCACTAAACTGTGGTTGTCAGTGTCCAGCTTTCGGCCGTTCTTGCTATACCGATTGCTTAAGGGGGTGGACAGTTATAGCTGGACACTGTCACGTAGATCATATATGAGAAAAGTTCATATCGCCCAGATCCGAGTCTTTAATTCGCTGGTTTAGCAGAAAATCGGTGCCGAGACATACTATGATCAGCGACAGTGTCCAGCTTTAATTGTCTACCCCCTTTTTATAGCCAGTGGTTCTTGGGAGAAGAGTCTACTAAAACACGACTTCAGAAGCTGAAGGAGAATAGGAGTTGATATTGCCAAGTATTTCCTTCTTTCTTTTCGGATTTTGTAAAGACTTTACAGATTGGAGAGTCTATGGTCAGGTTCACGTTATTTTTACTAGTAGGACCAGCTGTTCCATGAACCAGGAATACTGAAAGTGGACTCATGTCTCTTGCGATTGAATGGTAGGAAAGTAATCAATTCCTTTGCAAGAACTCAAAGATCAATAGCACGAGGAATCAGTATCCAGAAATTCACAATCCTTTATTCTAAGAACAGTTTCTCGGATGAGCCAAAGTACCCGCATTAATCCGTTACGAAGAGAGCGAGCAAGCGATATCGGCATGATTCATTTTGACAGGCGACCCTGCAGGAACCGACCCGACCCACCCCACGCGGCAACAGATTGACTTCGTTTCGTTTGATCTAATCTAATCTGATGAAGCGGAAGCGGAAGCGTACAAATAAGATTAAGATTTCGCAAAGGATTTCCCTCGGGAGAAAATCCATCATTCGGAGGAAAATCCGTGGGTTTTCGACTACAATCGGAGATAAATGTATCTGGCCCAGGACTGGAAATATCTACGGTCGGGACTCGGCGGACGGTCCGAATGGAGAGCTGAGAGAAGTGATGTTTAACGTACGGATCCACGTGGGGATCGTAAGTCTTTACGCGTGACTTTGTTGAGTGATGTGATGATGTGATGGATGTTGCGCATGCCATTGGTGATACTTGATCGTGATATTCGGTACGTTTGCACGGAAACTCCGCCCGGGGGACTATAGCGGAGTGGATGAATGGCCTGTTTCTTTCTGTGGCACGGCCTGTGGCACGTTGTGTGGCAGCAGCTCTCTATTGCCATCAGAGTGGCGTCCCAGCGATCGGTCAGTGGCACCAGTCCATTGAGGGCTTTGATTGGTGGCGACGGTGGTGCAAGGGAGAACGAAGCGGGACCTCAAGCTCAGTGGATCCCCAATTTTAAGTTACTACCATAAGCCTGCAGTGCAGGAGTGCACCTGGCACCTTACCGGTACGCCCCCAAGAAAGTCCGAGAAAGCCCACTCAACGGCTACGCAAGATATTCCGAGCTCCAGCTGTGTGTGTAAAAGCATCACATTGCGCCGGATCTTCTCCTTCTGACCTATGACTTCTCGATTTCTACAACACCATCGCATTCCATCATCTTCCCACTGGTGGTCGACGGAAACCCATTCATTTGGAGTTGATAGCTGTACCGAGTCTGGTACCTGAGTCTGCCCCGCCTCAACAATTTTAGCTCCCTCTGCCCCTTTTTGACTTTGGGTCTGCGCGACCACAGCACCGCCGTCATGGATATCGCCCTCGAGCTATGCGATACTTACTTCTTTGACCACCTCTACTCAGCCATTCTGCCAGCGAAATCTGCCATATACAGCTCGGAAGATGGATCAAACAATGGTACTCTGTTACACCCGCGATCGCGATCATCGTGGCAATTTAAACCGGCTACCCAATTCATATCTTTCCCACCCAGTGAAGCAGCCTACACAAGCGAATGGATGAGGGACAATGTATATCGACAATTCATTTCTCTCATGCTGGTAACTTGGTAAATTCCCAAATTTTTGGAATGCGCCTCCAAGAACTTTTAACTAATCCACTTTTCCATAGGATTGCCGGAGCAGCACTCTATTTACTGGTGGCCAGCCTCTCCTACGTCTTCGTTTTCGATAAGACCACCTTCAAACACCCCAAATTCCTCAAGAACCAAATTCGCCAAGAAATCAAACAATCATGCAATTCCATGCCCTTCATGGCTATGCTCACCGCTCCTTTCTTCCTCGCTGAAGTTCTAGGCTACTCGAAACTATACGACGCATTCAGCGACGAGCCCTTCCGATACTACAACTGGTTACAATTTCCATTCTTCATCCTCTTCACTGACTGCCTCGTCTACTTCATCCATAGAGCTCTTCACCATCCTTTGCTCTACAAAACTCTACACAAGCCCCACCACAAATGGATCATGCCAACACCATACGCCTCAATTGCCTTCCATCCTGTTGATGGCTGGGCACAATCTCTCCCATACCATATTTTCCCTTTTCTGTTTCCTCTCCAGAAATTCGCCTACCTCTGTCTGTTTTTCTTTGTCCAGGTTTGGACTGTTTTCATCCACGATGGAGAGTATGTTGCCAATAGCCCTATTTTGAACGGTGCTGCATGCCACACTATGCATCACCTCTATTTCAACTACAACTATGGACAATACACCACTCTTTGGGATCGATTGGGAGGCAGCTATCGCAAGCCAAACGAAGAATTGTTCCGAAGAGAAAGTAAGATGGGCCAAAAGGAGTGGGAGAGACAGGTAGCTGAGATGGAGAAGTTGGTCAAGGATGTTGAGGGCGAGGATGATCGTACATACGGATCAGAGGAGGTGGAACTGAGCACCAAGAAAGCCAATTAGATTTATGGCAATTATGGTGACTTGATCGAAAAATTCCGAGGTCGTTTCTCGCTGAGGGAGCTTGGAGTAGGGTGGTAAACAAAAGCGCGGCACGGAAATTGTGAATATTTTTGGACACAATTGTACAAAAGGCAGGCAGCAAGCAGCACGAGAAAAACGATTAGAAAGGGCGGGAAGTCCTGGGAGAAGCAGGGAATTGGAGTCTTTGGGGGGAATGAAGACGGTAATAATGTATTGTACAGGTTTGAGGGCGTTTACTCATTTCTGACGAGATGGATGGGGGCCGGCAGGGGTTTTAGCTACCTACCTAATAATTCTTTGATCTTTACATACGAGATAGGCGGGGTGATGGGAAAGGAAGAGAACCACTTTTCGTTAAGCTCAAGCTTTTTCCCAAGGGGATTGATGATGATGATGTTCATTTTTATATAAATGAATCCAAAGCTTCATATAAGATTATTTACACATACAGGAAATTACTACAAAAGAGCGGGGGAAGTTTCGCTGTGCTGTCCAAGTACTTCTAATACCTGATTCCGGGTATAACACCTGTAACTTTTACCTACTGGAGGTTTCTTGCCTTGTCCTATCCTATCCTATCCTGTGCTATGCTGTATTTTACTAAAGCTACACCACCGTAGTATAGTACGCCTAGGAGTCGGATGAAGTAGAAGTATATAACTACATGAAAACAACATACCCAGATATCAATTCCCCCCAATTCCCCCATCAACCCCTCCCCATCCCCATCCTTTATATTCCCGTCCCTCCTCTTCCCAGCCACCTAATCCAATCCAATCCAATCCAACCCAATGCCTCAATAATTATTAATTACAGTACTCATATCAAACCCCCTCAACCTTCATACCAGCATCTCTCCAAATCCAAAAAATGTTTACATTTACATATACCCCATCTGTGCTATGGTAACCCTCAAACCCACCCTTTGGTCAATTGGACTATTGTAACCGTAATACTATAGAATTTATGGTTACTATTATAGCAGTCACAAGTATAATAATCCATTCCATAATACGCCTTTATTTTATCTTAGGAGGGTATGGAACAAGTAGGGTAGTGGGTGTAGAATGAGGAATAGAATGTGGGCTGTCAACACCACAACAACAACTAATCTATATAAAGGACTTAGCTCTCTAGCCCTTCCAAGTTCCCATTTTCCCATTACCCTGAATATCTATTATTGTGTAATATAGGCTCCGCACCCCTCTCCTGATACGATCAAAGTGACAAAATGGGTTGTTGACGGACGTAAACTAAAGGCGAAATAATCGTACTTAGGAATAGCTTTTTTTTTTTGGTATAGAGAAACTTACGTTAGAGGGTGTATGTAAAACAAAAAATCAAGTCTTATTATTAATTAAAGTAAGGAATATTTCAGAATTCAAAGATTCGTCAATTAGTAGGAGAATTCCATCATGTGGTCTAATTGACGAATTTCCCATGGTATTGATCAAATAGTCGATTTGAGGGTTACCATAGCACACATCCCAGACTCTTACCTCCGTCATCCTAACTTAAAGCGGGCCTCGCGAGCACAGACGCCTGCGGCTGCTCGTAGAGCCCCTAAGGACAGTCTCGTAGTACCCCCTGTTAATTTTCTAAATAGGAAATAAAGCGCTGATTCGTCCGGAGTACTTGATTAGTATCCACCTACACTTGGCTACTCCACGTGTGTGGTAGGTAAAAGTTGACCAAAAATAATAAGCTTAGTATGAAATTATATCTAAAAATCTAGCGCTTTCTAACAGTACTATTATATTTTCGATGTTTGCTTTATTAGTAAAGATACTAGCGTTTTTATTATTTAATTATTTCGGGTGTGAAAACCCCTACTAGTATATACTTGGCCACTCCACTATTCTACTTATCTACTCCACTATGTACGATTTACAGGCCTTGTATGGCTTCCAGTACTACTAGACTGGCGTAAGAGGCTCTGCCAACTCGTTCCTCGTTGTTGAGGCCTGAGGCTCTTATAGTAAGAATGTACCTCCGAAGGTATAAGAATAGTACCCTTCCCAGTGCACCTACCTACCTATCTACCTACCTACCCACCTACCTATGTAGATCTCCATAACCGTACCGTAACCGTACATGATAAGACATGATAGGACATGGTAAAACCCCCCAGTACGAGTACTAGCGATACCCGCACGTAAAAGTTACTCACCATGTACCTAAAATGTAATAATATACCTCCAGTGCTTGTATATATAGACGAACCCCAAAAATTCGAAAAAACCATAGATATCCAAGACCTAACCAAAATCCCCATGATTTTCTACACGACAAGTGTCTGATTTTTCATCTCATTTCAAGGAAAAGCAATACGAATAGTCATGTATTTTCCACAGTAACGAAAAATCTGAATTGCGAACGGTCGGTCGCGCGATAGATATGTAGTCCTTCTATCACATATAGGGAAAAAGTTAATTGGGAATATGAACCCTCGGAACCTACTGTATTTTTGAATCCCAAGGATAAGCGAGGTGAATCTGTATACCTACCCCCCTCCGTGTACCATTGCGATTCTCCAAGGCTAGGTAGGCTAGTACTCGAAATGAATAATCAATAATTCAACGTAAGAGGAGAAGCTACTATATATTACTATTATGGATATCTGAAAGCCACTCCACTTCAACTCGTTATCCGTCCGTCACGAAATCTCAATTACTCCTCTCATGACGACGCCAACGTAAAAGGTGCGAATACTTTATAATGATAATGTGTAAAGTGAAAATTCATCCTCCTATAATATACATGATGTATTAATAAATAATGAACCACCAGCCCAGGCCCATAAAACCCTTGCAAGGGCTTGGATGCAAACGTCGCTTCCTTGTGCCATACAGCATCCAAAAATTAATCTTCTTAACAATATAAATTCGGGGATCGGTATCATCAAAAACAGTAAAGCATATCCCGCCAGAAATATCAAAGGACGCCGTAGATGCTCTTCACCTCCATATGGTGGAGCGGGAAAATAAATCCAACTCCGGTAAAATAGACATAACATGAGGGGGCCGTTTGAATCATATAGTAAAATCTCTTGTTTTTTTCACCTGTCAAAAACTCGTCGTTTCTAAGACGGAGTGGTGAGAGGGTCGAAGCTTAGATGGTAGTTCATCTGCTTGTGTTATTCATAGGAAGCCACCTTCGTTTCCAAAGACACCAACACTTCCTCTCCATCCGCATCTCTTATCGCGGGAGTCTGCGCTACCGGGACTTCGCAATCCTCGATCTTCAACCTCGAATCCGTACTCGCTACTTGTCCTCCTACTACAGTCTTTGCCAGAAGAGGAGCTCGCATTGGTTTGAACCAATAACAAGCTACTGGTCGAGGACAGTCGTTTGGCAAATTCCTGAAAACTGAGTCTTTTGATGCTCGTACTGCTTCGTCTCTTCTCCTTACGGTCCTCGGGTGAGGATGACATCAACTTCCCACTGCCGGTATTATTTTCTTGTAAGGTTGGAATGGTAGCAGTAGACATGGATCTAGACGGAAGAGCCATTGAACTGGGTCGACTGGTCCTATTTCTCGCCGAAGTTGTTCCTGCTCGAGGACGGAGGCCACCACTGGCTGATGGTCCACCATGAAAAGCAGACATGGCTTGTGAATTTAAGAATCTAATTGGGGGGCTCCTGGGCGGTGGTGATAATGGCCGCGAGTCGGGAGTGGGAGGTGGTCGTCGTCCCGAGATATAATCCAAGGCTCGCTGGGCAGGCGTGGGGATATTGATATCAACTTCTTCGTCGCCGGACTCGGCCAAATCGGAGTCTTCGGATTCTTCGTCGAGATCCCATTCTTGCTTGCTCCGTGATGGCACTTCATTTTCACTCTCCCTTTTCTTCTTTCGCTCATCAACCTCCCTCATTAATGCCTCGAAGCGAGCTATGCTACTTATCTTCTCCTCCTCTTTATCTGTCGCCCTATCACTTCCGGGAATACATCTCATTTGAAATGCGCGGTCCAAAATCGTCTCTCTAGGACCTGGTGGAGTAGATGCAATAGGACTGGTAGGATACACAGCCGAGAAGCTGTTGCTACCCCTGGTGTGTGTGGAGAGGGCCGACGAACGACCTTGTGCTGACGTCCAACCTTCGACAAACTGGTTCTCATACGTTGACGCGGGCGATGGTAGGTCAGATGGAAGTGTGGTACTGTAGTTCTGGTGTGCAACAAAACCTAGAGGTGGATGAAGCGAACTCGATTGAGAAGATAAGTCTGATCGTCGGGATCGGAGACTAGGGGACGGCGAAATTATATTCGAGGGCTTGTCTCTGGCAGTTTGGTAGCTGTTCATAGTCTGATTTGATACCCGTTGTTGTATATCTGGCCTCGTTGACGTGTTCCTCGGTTCTTGAGGGAGTTGGGTTGGAAAAGTATTAAAGGAAGGGCTCGCGGGTGTCAGAGGACTATCTTCTGGGTTTTCGGAGGTTAATTTCGACTTTATCGAAACCTGCCAATCGTAAATATTGTATCGCTCGTCCGGTACTGATCTGAATAGAAGAATATTTGGCCAAGGGTCCTTAGTCGATGTGAGGCCAGCGGTCCTGCTTGATCTTCGTTTTCGTTGCTTCTCAGATAGTGCGTTGGGCTTCAACTCCAACATCAATGTGGGGAGAGAAGGGCTCTGCTTCCGATACTGCAATATCCGGACTTCGGACGATTTGAATGCGGATACTGGATGTTGGGCAACAAACTCCCAGTCACCCTGATTCCATTAGTATATTATCCGCCCAAAATAAACCATCCTACATACCTTGGCCTTATATATTGAAATGTATAGCTTTGGCTCTTGGCCCCCAAGTTCTTCCGAAGGACCGTCTCCCAAATTGGGCTTCGATGGAGTAGATTTGAGCCCTTTGAGAGTCGATGGCCGTGAGCTCTCGTTAAGAATGTCTGCTTGTGTCTTTAAATGGGCACCAGTTCCGAGGACGACGTAGCGCGACTACCACCAACTGTCAGTAAATACATATGCCAATACTTGCAAGGCACTAACCTTCCACAACGCCCGGCCCATGATGGTGCTCCTCTCTGGAGGCACCGACATCAATCCTTCCATCAATATCATGTTGCCGGTTCTTTTGAATCCTCAATTAATGTGCTACTGTCGAGCTTCTACACTGCAGAAAGCGGGACAGATTGGTCAAAGAATGGCAGGATGCTATAACATCGCTTGCTTGAGTCTTTATCTTTGGCGTCCGACAAGACTCGATGCTTGTTCGAGAGGGAGGACGAGATCCGAAGGTGTGGTGTTTGCTTCACAGGCCAAGATGAAGGGTCGCTGGTTTGGAAAATAAATGCCAACGGGTAGCAATCGAACTAGGAATGCAGGGCAGGTGCTCTTAGTCCTCGAGACTAACCACGCCAACGCCACAGGCGGCAGATCGGATCGGGTTGCTATGTTTTGTGAGGCTCGCTGAACGCCAGGAGCAATTGTCGTTGGGTAGGTTGGTACGACTTTATCACAGGGAGCTGGAGTTTGCAGTTGTGAGGCGTCGTCAGCGAATCAGTGTTTGCCGTCGGGTCTCTCCTTGTGATTGGGGTTGGCGTTCTAATTGGGTGAACCTGATTCTGCTGCCTCGTGTGTGCAGGTGGTGTGGAAGCTTCTTTGGGATCGTAGGCTAGCCTAGCGATGGAACTCGTCTCGTCAAATGCGCAGTCCTTGGTACTTTACTACCACGTTCCCTACGACAACCACAACGACAACGACAACGACCACAGCCCAGCAGTTCGACTTTTCTTGGGATGAAGAGTAGGAGGAGGAGACACCGCAAGTGTGTGCATATGATACCAAATAAGCCCCTCGTTTTCGGAAGGTGCAGTGCAGGAACAGTGCAGAAACACTGGGGCGACTTGGACGGGCTCGAAGCGGGCACTTTTCCGTTGTGGCTTGAGTGGGTGCAGGACTGCAGGAGCGCAGGTGGCACTCTGTCTGAAGCAAGCAATAAGCAGATACGACCAGGGAAGAGACGCCTGCAGATGCACGCTGGACGCGGTTGGTGTGGTGTTGGTGGTGATGGTGATGGTGATGGCAGTGTTGGTGTTGGTGTTGATGCAGAGCCTGGATTCGGATTCTCAACAATATGAAGATCCAATGGAGACGGGAGACGGGAGCGTTCTACCAAGTCCTTTGAAGCTGGGCTTCTATCTTGGGTGGATTGTGGATCGGTCGCGGTCGCGGTCGTCGCAGAGGCAGACGCAGACGCAGACAGACGCAGAAGCAGAGGAAGATAATACTTCGAGCACCTGCAGATGGATGGATGGATGGGCAATCATGCGCTGCGGGGGATCGTTCGTCTCTTTAGACTTTGAGGCTCCCTCGCTGTCGTTCGTTCGCTCGATGTTTGATTGTTCGAACCACGAAGATTCCGTAAATCTTACTTGAAGTCCTTCCTCTCATCTCTTGCCCGCCCAGGCGATCCTTTACTTTACAATCCTTGCCCTTCTTCAACAACTTCAGGGGCGAGAACCCGCGGCCAGGTTTCGCTGTGGGGAACTCGTTTTCTCTCGGGACCATGCCCGGATTTTAGCGACGTTCCCCTATTCCCAAAGAATTCCGATATTCCAATCTTCCACCTGCACTACTACTCCGTACTCTCCGTACTCCTGGGATTCGCTATCAGATTAGCCCCTACGAACGCCTTCCCTCTCTCATATCGTGGGAATTGGCTTGGAACCCCTCTCATTGGTTATCTCTTAGGGCTATGGAAGAGCTGTGGAAGGGCTCTGGAAGTACTGTAATCGTGGATTCCTGTCAACCTTGTCAAAGGCATTTTTGACGCTGGCCCTTGTCCATTCACGGCACACGGATAGAAACTCTATCCTCTGCTGTACCGCACCTCGTTTCTTCGCCCCTGATGCAGCGATGAACCCGTACTGAGTGGAGATGCCTAACCTCCATCCTCTTGATATTTTCCTTCATATGTGAATTGGTTGCCATAACTTACTTATGTCCTGCAGATTCTAGCACCAAAAAAAGCGACTGGACATACGAGGAGGGTGGACACAACTCTGCTTGCACAGTACAACAAGTACAGTCACTCCTTGCAATACCTCTAGCCCCTGTATGGCCGGACTTCTATAATTAATGTTCATCCTTGTATCCTACAAAGGAATTGCAATTCTCATAGGAAGCCCACGTCTCACTTCAGGATTGAGTTTGTCGGCAAGTTTCGCTTGTTTGTTTTACGCGTTGTGCTGGACATGGCTGGACATTCTCCTTTTCCCCTTGCATACGCTTTTCCACTGCCATGATTCTTTTATTTCCCTGATTCTACTCCGGGCCCAAAGAGGGACCTGCAGCATCGTCACAAAATCGCGAATAGTTGCATGACCTCGAAACTTGCCACAATGGGACTAGAGCTAACAGCTGCCTGTGAAAAGTTGACCTTTAAGCTTTAGCGAAGCGCCTCTGATCTGGAGGGGTTTACAAAACGCTTCACCTGTGCCACAAATCTACCCTGATGATTGGCAAGAGAAAAAGTCGATAAGTCACTGGGGAAAAGGAAAGGTTAAATGAGATCCTTCAGACTTTAATATTGAACTTATTTATTAGCCAGGTCAGCCCTCCTCGGGCCCTTTCGTCAGCTCCTCTTGGTCGGGCTCACAGATGTCATCGCGACTCATCGGACTTACAGGCGTTCGAGTCATGCTACGCAATCCTCAAAGGCTTCTCTGTCATGTTTGCAATATATTTACATTCTAACGTGAAGCGTATTCTAGACAAGCACATCACCTGGCCTTTCTGTATGTACCTGTGCATAACCTACAGTATTGAACCTACTTCGCACATCTCCTCCCCTGTGCATATCCCTCAACAACTTTAAATTCTCTCCTTTGACTCTGCCTGCCGACGGGAGTCAAAATCCATAACCTCCGCACCCACGATTCTTCCGAATCCACTCCCCTTCAGCTTGGCGTATGATGTATTCATCCTCTGATCACTCAATGCTGATTGGCATACATGATATGGCACACTAGAGTAGTACGAAGTACTAGCGTCACTCCCGCCGATGGCTCCTGATCCAAAGGAAGAATTACCACCGCATGTTCCGTACCCAATCCGAGGCTGAGTCCTGACACTTCGTAAAAGTTGTGGGGGATCACTGGATTCTTATCAGATTGCAACACTACTGCAGCATTCTATCTTTTATCGTGGCAGATTCCATCAAAGTTCTTCTCCGTTGGTTTGCTCCGAGAACCTGTCTATCGACAAAAACATTGAAGCGTGCGCCGCCATACTCTCCTTTACCAGTATATAGGTCCATTTGACGGAGTACTTTCAGAACTTGAATGGTTTGGAAATCGAGCAGCGGGTTGGAGGAAAGGGAGAGGGGAAAATGTTGATAGGGAGTTATGATTGGACTTCAGGAGTGTACAAGATTTTAGTGGGGAAGTGGCAATCAAGTGGCTTGCATTCACAGATTGTCACTTGATACGTTATGGAACCTACGGTTTTTTTGGAGGAGGCTCGGAAGTGTCACCTGCAGGTACGCTGAAATTCTAGGATGCTCTACATGTATGTAGCTTAGTAACTCTGATATCTATTGGTGTGGCAGTCCCGTTATCGGAGACGTTGTGTTATGCTGCCACTTCTTTGCAAATAGTTAACATCCAGTGTTGACACCAACAGATTATGTTGCGTATATATAGAAGAAGAGCGATCAAGAGTTGTAGTAAGAGGGACAAATTTTCTTTTTGACAATATCAGGAAATAGGCTTGGTGGTAGCCCTAAGGCTGATCGATTTGACTACTTCGTAGATTAATCAGCCAGAGAACGCAATAATGCCGGTGCCACAAGCTTGCATGAGCTGAGCTTGGTAATAATGATTTCGCTCCACTAAAAAAGAGCCGACAGAACCTTGGATGTGTTGACTAATAACATGTCTCAACTCTCTGCTACTACATTTGGGCCTCTGAGTACCCTTTTTCCCAAACATGATCCCGAGTCTTGTTCGCTACAAGATTGAATTCAACATTTGCGAACGACCTCAGCTAGAGTCCCCATCTCAGACTCTCGGCTGTTTGTCCAATGGAATTTACAAGTGTTTGTGAATATCCCTCCATCGTCGCTTAGCTTTACGTGATAGCACCACCAGGCACCTGCACCGTTACTTGGAAAGATTATGTTATCCCTGACTCAGTAACCTTTAACTACCGGTAGGCAGATCGCTTAATTGGGTATGGCGGGTGGTATCCCACTAGTTTGGTTGGCGAGAGCACCAAGACCAACCCCTTTTCAGCGTTCTCCCTACAGGTAGTGAAAAGTTACGAAGTAAGGGATGAGATTAAGCGAGTGCTAGATCTGTCACTTGGAGAACAAACAAAGCAGATTCCGAGTGGTTTTTTTGTACTACCTATATGGTTCGATAGTTGAAGTAGTTAATTTTGATATCATGTATTCCCTAGAGGCATTGGCTTATATCTAAAGTAAAAATTACTTGATAAGACATTCTTGCGCCCCCTCCTATGCGAATTACCCGGAAAATTATTAAGAAAAAAATGCTGTTTAGGCAAAAGGAATGAAATCAGCTTCGCAGCCGTTTTCTGGATACGCGTGTTTTGGGTGTTTTCCTGAAACATGTCTATAATACATATCCTTGAGAAGAATACAAGAAAGCAATTTAGCGATTTCGGTGTGGACTAGATATCCATGAATGCACCTTACGCGGATATCACCTATATCTGTGCAAATAATTGAGGGCGAACTCTTGAAAGAACCCGAATTTGTGGGTTTCTTGCTATTGTTTCCTACTCTGAGAGTACCCCACTGTTTCTGACATGCAAACTCTACAATTTAACACAGGCCAACATGAATTCTACGTGCTGCTTTAAATTCTCGAATTTAGCTTCTAGCAGTTTATAGGTAGTAATGATTCCTGGTTCTATGAAGATAATTCATATTTTGTGGGAACTATATCTCAGAGGCTATCCAGAGAGGAAATGTAATATATGTTCCTTTGCCATGCCTTTTCTCCTTTCATTCTGTATACTGTACCTTCTCAGCTTCTATGGGAGGCTTTACAGACATTGTTCCAATTTGGAGCAAGGTGATTGCTTCATTGACGAGTTTCAATTTCGCAAATACTTTCATTCGAATCTCACTTTATCCCCCATCTTACAGGGACTGAATTTGAGACAAGATAGTTCTTCTCTTGCTAGAATAAATCGCCATATTAAGAAGTCTTGTACTTAAAGTTCTTAGCTCTGCTTTTCGGTGGGCGGACTACTATTCGTCTACTTTTCATATCTCTTTTCAGCGAAAAACGGTTACGGGAAAATTGTAGGGTCTTGTTATTTTGAAAATCAATGCGCCACTTGATCAAACCATCTTGTCAGGTACCGCTTCGGGGGATCGACTGCTTCGTAACCAATATCATGCGAAAGGTTGTTGTTCAAATGTCCTATCAGGACGACAAGACATCACACTACCTTGCTGGAGTACTCAAGTGGTTCTTGGATTTCGAGAAGTCAAGATATCTGCGAACCTAGGTAAACTGTATAGCTTTCCGCTGTGACTCTTCATAGACTATGTATCTAGCTTCTGCAAAGGACCATGTCAGAAGGAATTCGGTCGTGGTCAGTAAAATTGCCTAGATACCCCCCCTTGATTTGATCTACTACCGTGTGTCGGTTGCTAACTGTACTGTAGGTGTATGAACAAGACGGTAAAACTTGGACGAGGTATGCCTCATCAACTTTAGTATGGGAATCTCGTACCAGTGCATCCTTTTTCCCTTACAGGACATGCACTAGCCGCTGATGTAGTTCGGGGTAAGAGTAGGAAACTGCAGTTCGCATTGGTAGATCCAAAGCTCCATGACTACGTGATGGTATAGGTGTTCTACTCAGGTCATGATTCGATTTTAACGAGTACCTGGGATGACCGTACCTAGGTACTCACGTATCCATGACAGTCGGAGACACTTCGTTCAATATTTGTTCAATTACAGCAGCTAATTCAACTGAAGGAATACTTTCTCTATCTCACAATTCTCTTAGGTTTCTTGTCATCCGTGCTCGCATATATATACTGTAAGATCTTACAATCATTTCAAGACTACTAGAATTTGGATGTGAAGGGAGGGGAAAACAGTACCTACGTCACTACCTAGGTAGGCAAAACCGTGCTATTCAAGGTCTCATCACGACACGCAACCGCAATAATTGATCAGAAAAAGATTCCATGCCCTGAGGAGGTAGGTAGGTAGGTAGAGGCTATGAGTGAAATCGTCATCTACAGGTGCGTCCAACACCAGCAGCTTGTACCTATCATGAACCTTCACTGCACCTGCAACCTCAAAATAAAGTTTTAGTAAGAGAACTTGGAAGGGCAAAAGAGGGGTGGAGGGGGGTACCTGAAGTTG